AATCCTGAAACTTTTACCCTCCTTACCATTATTATCTTCATCTTCAGGTGACAAATACAGTTCTCAGACTGTGCAATGTTGGAATTTGTGATACAGTGTCATGAGCTTGGAGCTGATGACTGGCTTGATTGTTCATTCTGTTCACCTGCCTAAGTCCGCCCAGTTTCTCATTACCATTCATCTGATTCACCTACTCCAGTCTTTATTTAACCGGTCTGGTTCCAGTCATCAGGGCCAAATTATTCTTGAGCAAGTGGAGAGAGTTTTCTAGCATACCTTAGTGTTACTGATTGCCTGATCCTGACCCGTTCTGTCTTTGGATCTCTAAGACTGCCTGTCCCTGTTCTAATCTGTTTGCCTGACCTGTCATCGAACTCCTGCTGAATTCTGCCTGTTGACCAAACCTGGACCAAAGCCATCTTTGTTATTAGTATCCGCTGTCACTGTCGATTTGTAACGCCTATGGCGATAGCGGGCTGCTGTGACAGCAAATCCCATAATGCTTTGCCAGGAGGGCTCTCCACGCAAAGCATTCAGGGATATATCTGAGTCTTCCTAGACCTTTCTTTCCTTCTGCACTTCGTAGACACTTTTTCCTCTTACCCCCGGCCATTTTCAAAGAACCGCCGTGAGAAAGATAAGCTTCAATGACTGGCTGAAACAATAGCTTAACACAAATTTACGCCTGAAAGTGCGTATGCGCAGAAAAAGATAGCTAACAGGTTTAGCATGTAGGACAGCCTTATGTGAACATATCACCAGAATGATTGACATTTAGGAGGACCACTTATTTAGATGATCCACCCAGAAATAAAGGATCGTCCTCTATACCTTTAAGGAATTTGGTGTGCAGATAAAAGGCATCTTTAGATTTTGTTTTTAACCGATGATTGAACTTGTATCTATGAAGTAATATTTAGCCTCCTTATTGATGATATTTTGGGCATCATATCATGTTTCCTCCGACCTGATCACAAAAAGTTCTTCAGACATTAAATATTTCAAGGACAATAACATACAGGACGAATGCATCCAATTAAAAAAGGGCAGAAGAAGTTAATCTTTTTTCCTCACAAGAATAAAATTGATGACTTTGAGAGCAAACACAACATATTTAATTTTTATTTATGTTACAAAAAAAAAACTAAATCTGATTGTTAAGTGACTTGATCGGAAAATCACATTGTTGCTCACAATTATATTTGGTCTGACAAAGCAGATTCAGCTTAATAAATATGGAGTAAAGGGGTAATCAAAACATTGCTTTTATGAAATTTGTACCATTTCAACCATCTCACATAAACAATGTATGATTAAATGTAATAATTAAAACAGATTATAACATGAAAATACATTTAAAACAGCTTAGGCTATAAATAATGTTAGCTAAAGTTTAATTAAAGTTTAGTGTTTTTATTGGAATTACGTTCACATATTAAAAAACATTAATGAACAAACATGGCTGCAGACTTTAAATGGTTTAATTAATGAAAAAAAAAAACATGAATTTATACTGCCGATCTCAGCACACAGCAGATCAGATCATCCTTAATCTGGTCTGGTCAGGGTCTCTCCTGGATCCAACCTTTCAATTCCTCAGTAGGAATTTAAATTTTAAACAACTTGGTGAAATTGCTGAATGCCAGTTTTTGGTCTGTCAGAACTGGAACCCAGTCCACATTTAAACAACTGGACCTCAGATCAATCTGACTGTTTTAGTTTAACAAACTCAGCAGAGTCTCCGTCATCAGAAAGCCAAATCCCAGCATACAGAGGCTGTGTGAATGTGGTCTGGACTCTATGGAGGAGAGTCATGGTTTCAGAGACGCTGTAGAAAGACAGAATACCTGCTCTGTGATCCAGATACACTCCTATTCTGGAGGAAACTGGACCTGATACTGGAGTTTTAACACTGTTGTGCCAAAAAGTGTAGGATCCTTCCTCACATTGTAAAGCCCATGAGTTTTTGTTGAATCCAAAAACACAATCCTGGGACGTTCCTTTCCTGCTGATGTTCTTGTATGCAACTGCAACATAAACTGCTTCCCCGATCCACTCCACCTCCCAGTAACAACGTCCAGTCAGACTGTTTCTACTCAGTACTTGCCACCATCGAGTAAATCTGTCTGGATGATCTGGATAGAATTGTAGCTGCTCCATTAATGTTACTTTTCTGTTCTTCTTAGATAGCAATATATATCTGTTTGCTGTGTTTGGATCCAGTTGGATTTTTTTTGAATAGGTTAATAATTCCATCCCGGTTTTTGGTTCTGATTTCAAGAGTAAAACATCTACTTTGGTGTCTGACAGCAATATACCTGTCCATGCATTTCTCAGCATGTCTCGTAGTTCATCACTTAGCTGTGATACATCTTTAATTGGCAATGAACTGATGCTGGCTGAGTGTGTAGACTCACTGAGTGCTGACAGTGAGGGGTAGTTCTGCAGAAACTGGGTGTGATCCTCTGTTTTTAGGAGCTTTTTCAGCTCAGCATCTTTCCTCTTCAGCTCAGTGATC